TTCCGCAAAGCGGCTTGTTTTTTGATCGAGTCTCAGGCAACATGAATAGAAACTGCGACATGCACACGAGGCTGCAGAGCCGACGGACCTCAGAGTTGTTGGATTTGCACCGGTCCGATGTTGTCCCTGTCTTGCCGGGCGTTGTGCAAGATGGGTGGGGGAAGAAGGGCGCACATTTCGTGCACCTAGGGGCACGCTGCTTCGCCCCCCTCCCGTGTACCGCCCCCCCAGCAAGCAACGCCTGCACGCCGGTTGTTGAAAGTAGGCATTTCTGAATCCCCAGATCCCGGCCTACTTCAAACATCGATAAGTTGTTGTTGTGTTTTGTTACATATTCTCTGCCTGTACCACATCTAATTTAGCTGCCTTCCTACTTCATGTGTCTATCGACTTCTTCCGACCGGCGTGTAATGCTGGCTTCGTCTTACATGGAGGAACAGAAGATAGCATCAGCGGACCCTTTCGGAGCTCCGCGCGGGTTCATTGGATAGGCGTTGGGCCCCTCCCTGGCGGCGCCTCCGGCGCCGCCCCTTTGCGTGCTCCCGCGCGCCGGGGAGGGGTGCCCCAGCGCCGATCCAAGAAATCCACTCGGAGATCCGAGAAGTTATGTTGGTGCCGTGTTTTGTTCCTCTACAGTACAGTCGGACCGAGGTACAAGATCGAGGTCGGTTCGGGGAGGGTACCCTCGTGTTCTTCGTGCTTGTTGGATGTTCTTGTGCACCCTGGGGAGGGTTCCCTTGGACGTTCTCTTTGCTTTCGCCGGCGGCGGGTCTCATGCTCTTGAAGGATAGCATCTGTTCTTCTGGCCCAGGTCCGACTGTAAGCGACTCCAGTCCTTGCTTCGTCTCGAAGGTCGAGCTGCTGGTGCAGCAGACGCTGGACCTGGACCGGCCATGGCGGGAGCGCCGCGACATGCTTTCGGGCATCCTCAGCGCCGCGTCCGTTGAGGACCGGCTGAAGGTGGTGCTGAACTTGGACAAGCGTTTCGAGGATCAACCCCAGTCCAGAGAGGGTGCGCCCAAGAGGGGGGTGCGCCCAGTCTTCGAGCATCGTGCGAAGATCGTGCCGAACTCAGTTTCTGACAAGATAGTCGCGAACACAGTCTAGCACAGGCGGGATGGGCGGGCCTGCAGCAGCGCTGCCCCACCTCCGCAGCCATTGGCCTCAGAGGCCCCGCAGGGCCCTGTCGGCAGCACGCCTGTTGCATTGTGAACGCACCGAGTGCATCGTTCTCGTCGTTCTCGGTGTGCTCGTCGCGCGCACTCGTCGGGCCTCGGCGGCTTCCGAGCCTCGGGAGGCCTCCCGGCAGCTGCGCCGAGCCGCACTCTTCGAAGGGTCGTTGATTTTTGGGGGGGCCAAGATCCTTTCATCTATAATTGTTCTATCCTGGGCCTCTTCCTGGCCACTAGGGGGCCAGGAACAAGTAGAAACGAGCACAATTAGAAATGAACACGATTTCGACGTGTAGCCCCAGAGCTCCTTCGGGCTCCGTGAACAATCCCCGCCGCAGCTTGCTTGAGCTCTTCAGCTGTCCCTTTTCTGAGCGCTTGCCAATGCGTCTGCCGGGAAGCTCTCCAGAAGCTCCTTCGGAAGCTCCTTCCGGGAGCTTCTGGAGCTCTTTGCCAGAGGCTGTGGCACAGCGCCAGATCTCCGGGATAGCCGGCAGCCCATGCTGGGCTAACGTTGCGCCCTCTCTGCTTCAGCACCTGCCACACTCAGCTTGCACAGGACAGCCCACGAAGGGAGGGGTAATTAGGGGGTGGATCGGCGTTGGTCCGAATCCCGTGCAGCTGAGGCAGCTGTCAGGCGGAGGCGGCGGGATCGTTGCGCGTGACAGTTGTTTCGACCCCTCTCGCACACAACACGGGCGCTGCACGGAGCAGAAACCCTCGGAGCTCCGCGCGGAGTTCTCGAGGGAGGCTCCGCCCGCGCACCAGGGAGGGGCGCCCGGCGCCGAGCCATGCGGCGCGCTCCGCGCACCAGGGATCCCATAGTATTGAATGGGTTCCTTACACTGTCGCGCCCTGTGCATCTTCCCCCCCCTTTCCTCCCGACGCGATGGTTATCTTCCGTGCGATCTAAGTTGCGTCCTGTACCTTCTCCACCCCTTCCTCGCAACACGGTAGTTCTCTTTCTCGCGGTCCCAGCAGAGCCGCGAAAGTTGGTGGTTGTGCAGGCTTCTGCTTCCCTCGAGGAGGGACGGCTCGCCCCACTCTTGCCGCCAGACAGTCAGCGCCTGCCGTGGCCTGCTCGAGCGCGCGTGCGGACTGCCTCTGCCGCGCGGCGACGGAAAAGTTGTTCCTTCGAGGAGCACGCTGACATCGACGACTTCGAGATCGTGTGCGGCATCGCCGAGCACATAGGCCCGCGTCGACCCTGCCGTGCTGAAGTCTGGGGGGCAGAGGGGCCAGCAGGCATCCAGTATCGTCCAACCGATCCCCCCTGCCCAATGGCATCTCGGCCCAAGCCTCCCCGCCCACCCCCTGGGGTGGGGACAGGCGCCGTGGGACCCGAAAGAGCAGCACGTGTCCAAGCCAATGTGTGGAGCAGGTCGGCCAGTGTGGCCAAGGCCATGCAAGTGGGGCAAGGCCATGAAAGTGGGGATGGGGATCGCCTGAACGATGCTCAGACGGCCCATGACTCGGGTTCATAACTCGGATGGCTGGCGGCTTTCCTCCTCCTCCTCGTCCTCCTCCTCCTCCCCCCTTCCTCCTCCTCCACATACACTATATATAACCCCCCCTCCTTCATCCTCCTCCTCCTCCTCCTCCTCCCCTCCTCTCCTCCGCCTCCTCCTCCACATGACACAACATGAAAATACTTCCCCCACTTCCCTGATGGGCGTCGCGAAGATATTCGGTCATGTGCACCCCCCGCGTACTGTTTTTTTACACCAGGATCCCCCGTGAGTTGGGTTTCCGCTTGGTTTTTTTCTAAAAAATTCTGCTCTCGCTGCTATGGCGCTTCGGCCTCATTTCTGCTCCCGAATCGTTCCGAAACGTGCTCCCGCTGCAGCGTGGGCCTCATTTTCGGATCGGTGTTTGGCCTCCGTCGTTCAGGATGGCGTTCTCGCCCCAGCGCGGGCCTTTTTCTCGCGCGCCCATCCGCCCGCCACCACCGCGCCGCACCGCCACCACCACCACCACCACCACCACCAACCACCACCACCAGCACCAGCACCAGTACCAACACCACACCACCAGCACCACCACCACCACCACCAGCACCACCACCACCACCATCACCACCACCACCACACACCACAACTACCACCGACGCACCATCACCACCACCACCACCACAACCACCAACCAGAAACCGACAACCACGCAAAACAATCAACGCCGCGCAACGCACGCACACTAGGAGCATCTACCTCCACTATTACTCACGTGCGCGCGGCGAGCCACAGGAACGCTTGCACACGCGTCCGCGGATAGAGAAAAAATCAGCGCCATGGTAAGGGAATGGGAGGGAGGGGTAGGACGTCAGCTATACCGAGCGCACCTAGCTTAGTCCTCTCCTCCTCCTCCTCCTCCTCCTCCTCCTCCTCCTCTTCCCCCCCCCTCCTCCTTCTCCTCCTCCTCCTCCTCCTCCCCCGTTCCTCCTCCTCCTCCTCCTCCTCCTCCTCCTCCTCCTCATCCTCCTCCTCGTCCTCCTCCTCCTCCCCCCTCCTCGTCCTCCTCCTCCTCCTCCTCAGCATGTTGGACGATGCCCAGACGAGGCTTTCGGTTCCTACCTCGGGGGTCTGGCGGCCGCGCGGGACGACCCGGTCCATCCCAGAACGGCCCCCGGGGCAAGGCGCAGCCAGCTGCTGTGGAGGCCCCCCGGGGGCCCGGCGAGGCGCCCCTGGGCCGCAGACTGCGCCGCGCGAGGTGCCGCTGGCAGTAAGTCGGGCCTCTCCCCCTACAGGTGGGATTTCGACGAAGAATAAAAAAATCCCCCCAAATAATCCCAAGATGATATGGGGACTCTGTTTTGAATGTTTGTTTGACCTTTTTGGAACATGTTTGGGGTATTTTCTATTTTTCGTCGAAGATCCCCCCGTAGGGGGACAGGCCCGACATAACGCTGGCACCTCGCTCGGGTGCCCCTGGCGTTGCGCAGTGCAGCAAGCCCTCCACCTCCATATTCCATCTGCGCAGGCGCGGAAGGTGATGCATTGAAACTGTTGAAGGCCTCGGGAGGCGCAAGAAAACTCAGCGGTTCACGGGGCGCAAGCGTGTGGAAGGTCAGCACGGAAGGTCTGGACGAATGAGGGCGAGGAAGAACGGGGAGGGAGCGGGCTAGCGGCCGAAAACCCTCCGCCGCGATGTTCGTTCGCCGGCGCGTGGGCGTCTGGGACCCTTGGCTGATGCACCCGTGGTTTGCGGGTCCGAGCTCGGCTCTCTGGCGGCCGTTCGGGCCGATCCTGAGATTCTGGCACCCCCGGACTGCCCTCGAGGAGGCGCAGATGATGAAAAATCCATTCCGGATTCTGGGGCATGTTCGAGAATGCGCGAGATCCGTTGGAAATCCGCCCTTGAGCTTCCCCCACTGGGCTTCTCCACTTCTCCGCCCGAGGCATCGAGATCCCCCGCGAGGGGGCGATCCGCCGCTGCGCTCTGCGGCGCTGGGCGCTGGACCCGAAGCGCGGGGGCGCGCTGCCCGTGGCGCGGCTCATCGACTTCGTCGACACGGACGCGGCCATCGGCGAGGATTGCCGCGTCCTCTTACTCGCTCCTCCCGGATCCTCCTCGTCCTCCTCCACCTCCGCTTCAGCGACACGCTCTCCTCCTCCTCCTCCTCCTCCTTCTCCTCCTCCTCCTCCTCCTCCTCCTCCTCCTTCTCGTTCTCCTCCTCTTCCTCCTTCTCCTCCTCCTCCTCCTCCTCCTCCTCCCCCTCCCCCTCCCTCGTCCCCTCCTCCTCAACCCTCCCCCTCCTCCTCCTTCTCCTCCTCCTTTCTCCTCCTCTACCTCCTCCTCCTCCTCCTCCACCTCCTCTCCTTCTCCTCCTCCTCCTCCTCCTCCTCCTCCTCCTCCTCCTCCTCCCCGGGGGCAACATTCGGGGGGGGATAGCCTAAGGGGGTGGAGGGGGGGGCGCATGGAGCCCCCATCAATCATTGATCGGCGATAGGACCCGATAGCCCACCCCGCCTAAGGATGAAGTCGGGCCTGTCCCCCTCCAGGGGGAATATCAAACAATAGTCAAACATAGGCTGGGGACGATGTTTTGACAACATGTAGTATGGTTTTTCCCAACCATCCTGTGGTGTTGGGCCCTCGTTTTGAAGAGACGTCGCCCCGCGTTCCTTCCTCCTCCTTCCTCCTCCTCCCCTTCCTCCCCCCTCCTCCCCCTCCCACACCCATTCTGGCACACCCCTCACACGTTTCGTGGCCCCATAGGGAGCTCCACCGAAGGCCCCAGTGGCTGCGCCCGCATGCGGTTCCACACCCCATTCTGGCACACCCCTCACACGTTTCGTGGCCCCATAGGGAGCTCCACCGAAGGCCCCAGTGGCTGCGCCCGCATGCGGTTCCACCCCCCATTCTGGCACACCCCTCACACGTTTCGTGGCCCCATAGGGAGCTCCACCGAAGGCCCCAGTGGCTGCGCCCGCATGCGGTTCCACCCCCCATTTCTGGCACACCCCTCACACGTTTCGTGGCCCCATAGGGAGCTCCACCGAAGGCCCCAGGCTGCGCCCGCTGTTCCATGCCCCCCACCCCCCATTCTGGCATACCCCTCACACGTTTCGTGGCCCCATAGGGAGCTCCACCGAAGGCCCCAGTGGCTGCGCCCGCATGCGGTTCCACCCCCCATTCTGGCACACCCCTCACACGTTTCGTGGCCCCAAAGGCAGCTCCACCGAGCGCCCCAGTGGCTGCGCTCGCATGCGGTTCCACCCCCCATTCTCGCACACCCCTCACACGCTTCGTGGTCCCATAGGGAGCTCCACCGAACGCCCCAGTGGCTGCGCTCGCATGCGGTTCCACCCCCCCATTTCGGCACACCCCTCACTCGTTTCGTGGCCCGGGGGTGCCACCGAGGAATATATCCACAAGTGCGGCATTCACAACTACGTATGGTTGGGTCTTTCGTCAGGCTAATTGGGTATGTTTTGATTTGTCGCCCAAAATCCGCCTGTAGGGGGACAGGCCCGACCTAAGCCCAGGAGTGTCCAGATCCGCCGTCGGGGGCCCATCTCCGATCTGCCGGCGAGGCATCGCCGATCCCAGGTCAAAGGCGAGAAACCCAACCATATATTTATATATATATATATATGTATAGATATACATCTATATGTATATATCGAGCGCCTTAGGACAATCCGTCATGGCTGTCTGTGCTCTTGGAGGCCTCCTGGGGCGCCTTGGGAACCTTTTGGGCAGTCTGGAGGCCACTTCGGAGACTTGGACCTCCAGCTCGGCGATTCGAGGCCCTCTTTGACCGTCTTGGGGGCCTCTTGGGGCAGTCTTGTTTCGTCTTGGGGGGCTTGGGGTTTTGGGACCACCCGAGGGGGGGGGGGGGGCGTCAGGCTGACCTGGGACCCCCCTGGGACTCCCCCGAGACACCCCACCGGGTCTCCCCCGGGACCCCCCCACGGCGGGGAAGGGATCAAGGGAAGGGGCTTCCCTTCGAATGAATTGCGACGTCCGTTAAAGTCGTTTTGGCTAGCACGCTTGAAGAGAAAGGCCCAGGATAAGAGAGGCAACGGGTGGCGCGTTGGGAAGGAGACCCAGGAGAAAGCTTGGAAAGGCGATGGTGACGACGACAACGACGACGAGGAGACGACGAGTGAAACAGCGCCGACAGGTCGGCGGATTTCCGGGGAGGGGGGCGAGGAGGGGAAAGGGGCAGGAGAAGGCGGAGAGCTAGGAATGCGGCAGGAGGCGGAGGCGGAGTGGAAGAGCGCAGAGGAATGGAAGGAAGGAGGAGGGGGAGGAGGAGGAGGAGGGGGAGGAGGAGGAGGGGGAGGAGGAAGAGGAGGAGCAGGAGGACGAGGAGGAGGAGGAGGAAGAGGAGGAGTAGGAGCAAGGATGAGGAAGCGAACGAGGAGAGGAAGAATGATGATCACGACAACACAATCAATTAGCAGGTGGGAGGTGCGGGGGGGAGTATGTGGGAGACGCGACGTCCCTTCTCCAACATATAATTTTCGCACCGTTTCTGGATGTGCCGCCCAGGGTACCCGAGCCGAGCCTACCATCGCCCATTGCGACTGGTTGTAGAAACTTGCTTCCCAGGGACAGGAGCAGGAGGGAGGAGAGGGGAGGATGGAGAGGAGGATGAGGAGTGGAGGGAGAGGAGCAGGGGAGGGGGACTCCTCCCTGCTGCTCACTGCTGGGCCCCCTGAAGGCCCGACCCTCTCGCCGGGGCCTTTTTCTGTATCTGGAGCCGTGTTCTGCCGGCCCGCGGTGCCCAGTGAGTGACCCGGAGGCCGAGCACGCGTAGTGTTTCCGCGTGGCAGGGGTCATTCCTATTCCTCCGGCCCCATTCCATACGCTTTCGCACGCTACCGATTTCGAGTTCGCCCGATCCGACTCCTGCCGATTCGGTGTGTCAGCCGATTTCTGCCGATTCTTGCCGATCTGGCTTCACTTCGGATGGATCTGTTACGCCGTGCTGTGCTCCGCGCGGTTTCACGCGCGGCGCGCAATATTTTCAGAGTTGGGCGAACCCAAAAGGAGGAGGAGGAGGAGGAGGAGGAGGAGGAGGAAGGAGGGAGGAAGGAGGAAGGAGGAAGGGCCAAGGAGGAGGAGGAGGAGGAGGAGGAGGAGGACGAGGAAGGGAGGAGGAGGGAGGAGTAGAAGGAGGACGAGGACGAGGACGCGGACGAGGACGAGGACGAGGAGGACGAGCGCCCCTGCAGCGCCCCGACGACGCGCCGACGCCAGCGCGGTGTCACACACCTGCGGGTGCCTCGCCGCCGCCTCCACGGCAGTCACCTGGAGCGGGCCCGGAGGTGGCGCATGAGGGCTGGGCCTTCCTCCTCTTCCTCCTCCTCCTCCTCCTCCTCCTCCTCCTCCTCCTCCTCCTCCCCCGCCTGGAGGGGGCACGCTCCGGTCCAGACCTTCCAGAGTGCTACAAGAACAATCCTCCTGACCTAACTAGACCTATCTGGGCTGCTTGTAACGCCTCGACTGGGTTTTGGATGTCGAGGTCCTGGTGCTGTTCTTAAGCCCTCGAGGAAGGTCTGGGGGGAGGGGGCGGGGGAGGAAAAGGAGGAGGAGAAGGAGGAAGAGGAAAAGGAGAAGGAGGAGGAGGAGGAAAAGGAGGAGGAGGAGGAAGAGGTCTGGGAGGGGGGGGGCGCCCCCCCCCCCCCCAGGCAGGGATCCCCACAAAGGGGGCGCCCCTTCTGGGCGAGGCGGCCGCTCCGGAAGGGGGGGGCCCCGTCCGGGAGGGGGTGGGGCCGTCGGGGAGGGGGGGGCCCTGCCGATCTCGGTTCCGATCCGGCGTGCCATGGCGCCAACACCGCGGAGCGGCTGTCGCCCAGGAAACGACAGGCTGGGCCCGGCGAGTCCTGGAGAGTTTCGCTCTGGATTTCGAGATGGAGTTCGTGCGGATTTTCTTTCTTGTTTTTTGGGGTCTGGAATGAAGGCTAAACAGCATCCACGCGAAATCCATGTCGTTTTTCGCTCTCCGCTTCGGGCAAACATCCACGCAGAAATCCACGCAGAAATCTGATGCAGCACGTCTGCAAGGCTGGTGCAATGAGGCGTGGCGCGATCGGGTCTTCGATTCGGTCCGACTCTGCGCTGCGGTCTCCTGCCGATTCGATGCGTCGGCCGATGTCTGCCGTTTGCTGCCGATTCGGTGTTCGGGTCGGTCCGGCTCGCCTTATAAATCGGTTCGATGCTGGGGCCGCCTGTTTTGTATTTTCAGTGCGATAGAGGACTGCCGGGGCCGTCTTGGAGCTTGCTTGGGCTGTGTTGGAGCGCTCTTCGGGGTCCCTTGGGCCGTCTCGGGGCGATCTTGGTGGCCTCGGGGGCCGTCTTGGACGCTATGAAAACCCGAACAGGCGTATCTGCTAAAAATGTACGTTTTCCGATGGGAATGGGATGATTTGTCCCTCCTTGGCTCTCTCGGGAGGTCTCTTAATGGCCTCTTGAGGCGTTTTGGAGGTTTCTGGAGCCGTCTTGGGGCCATCTTTGGGGGGGGGGGCGAGACGCCAGAAGGAGGGTGATGGGGAGAGCAGGAGAAGGAGGAGGAGGAGGAGGAGGAGGAGGAGGAGGAGGAGACGGAGGAGGAGGAGGAAGAGGATGAGGAGGAGGAGGAGGAGGAGGAGGAGGAGGAGGAGGAGGGGAGGAGGAGGACTGGGGAGAAAGGGGGCTGGACTCATCCTCCCTCCCTCCCCTCTCCTCTTCGCTCCTGGAGCTCGATGCTCTTTTTTGTGTTACGGCCACATTTAAGTCGGGCCTGTCCCTCTACAGGAGGGAGTATTCAAAATAGTCAAAATTATCCCGACAAAGCAACCTAACAGCGATATGTAGAAGCATATCTGAAAGCATTCCCCTTAAGATTCAGATGAAAATCCAGTTGTAGAATTCTGCTGTTCTCGCAGTCGTAGTCGCATGCGCGATGACAGTCGCAGCGGCAACGGCAGTCGCAGTCACAGCCTCAGCCTCAGCCTGCCTCAGCCTCAGCCTCAGCCTGCCTCAGCCTCAGCCTGCCTCAGCCTCAGCCTCAGCCTGCTTCAGCCTCAGCCTCAGTCTGCCTTCAGCCTCGGCCTCAGCCTCAGCCTGCCTCAGCCTCAGCCTGCATCAGCTCAGCCTCAGCCTCAGCCTGCCTCAGCATCAGCCTGCCTCAGCCTCAGCCTCAGCCTGCCTCAGCCTCAGCCTCAGTCTGCTTCAGCCTCAGCCTCAGTCTGCCTTCAGCCTCGGCCTCAGCCTGCCTCAGCCTCAGCCTGCCTCGGCCGCAGCATCAGCCTGCCTCAGCATTCAAAATGTGGCCCGGGAATGGAGTTCTGGGAACTCGAAGAACACGAAGTGGCCTACAGTTGGCTCCGGGCATTCAAAATCATGCCCAGGAATGGAGTTCTGGGAACTCGAAGAGCACGAAGTGGCCTACAGTTGGCTCCGGGCATCCAAAATGTGGCCCGGGAATGGAGTTCTGGGAACTCGAAGAGCACGAAGTGGCCTACAGTTGGCTCCGGGCATCCAAAATGTGGCCCGGGAATGGAGTTCTGGGAACTCGAAGAGCACGAAGTGGCCTACAGTTGGCTCCGGGCACTCAAAATGTAGCCCGGGAATGGAGTTCTGGGAACTCGAAGAGCACGAAGTGTGTGACTGTTGACGAAAAACGAGCCCGGCTCTGTTCCCGGTTCTCCAGAATGTAGCCCGGGAATGGAGTTCTGGGAGGTCGAAGAGCACGAAGTGTGTGACTGTTGGCGAAAAGCGAACCCGGCTCTGTTCCCGGCTCTCCAGAATGTGGCCCGGGAAAGGAGTTCTGGGAGGTCGAAGAGCAAGAAGTGTGTGATTGTTTGCGAAAAACGATTCCCGGTTCTCCTCCCCGGCACCCGCCCAGACCCCCCTGAGGAGTCATGATGCTCTTTTGACCCTACTAGAAACCTATCAGCAAACGCTGTTAGGTAAAAATAGTCAGGGAACTATTTTTTAAACATTTTTTGATCATTTGGGGGCATCTTATGGGTATTTTTCATTTTTCTTCAAAAATCCCCGTGTAGGGGGACAGGCCCGACCTAAGGCCAGAGCTCTCTGCTTGGCAGGCGGTTTTTCAGCCCGAGATGACTTCTTGACAGCCCGGGGCCCGGTCAGGGCCCCCGGAATCCGCACTTTTCCGTCGTTGAGCGTTGGCCTCCTGGAGGAGGAGGAGGAGGAGGAGGAGGAGGAGAAGGTGGAGGAGGAGGAGGAGGAGGGCGAGGAAAAGGACGAAGAGGAGGAGGGAGGCGGAGGAGTGGTACGACGATGATAGCGGTGGTGGTGATATTGATGTTGATGTTGACGCTGATGTTGATGGGGCTGTTGAGTATGATGGTGGTGATGGTGGTGATGATGATGATGACGACCACCATCACGACAACGATCACGGTCATGCTAATGATGGCGACGTCGTGGGAGATGGCGATGAACATGACGGCGATGTTTGTGGCGGTCATTGTTGATACTGATGATGATGATGTTGATTTTTGATGATGATGCTGCTCATGATGCTGACGATCATGAAGACGACTATGATGATGACGACGGTGATGACGATGACGATGATGAAGATGCTAATGGCCAGTATAGCGACGATGACGGTGCTGCGATGGTGATGATGACGACGACGATGATGCGATGATGAGGATGACTATGATTATGACGTTGACGATCCTGAAAATGATTGTGATAATGCTGGCGACGGCGATGACGATGACGATGATCGTGGTGCTGGTGGTGACGAGTTGGATGACGATGATCATGACGACGACGATGACGATGATGATGCTGATGATTACGATGATGATGATGATGATGATGGTGGTGATGGTGATGATGGTGCTGGTGGTGGAGGTGATGAGGACTGAGATGATGGTGACGATGATGGTGGTGGTGATGATGATGTTGACGATTGTGATGATGTTGTTGATGATGCTGATACTGATGATGGTTGTGAGTATGATGATGAGAAGGAGGAATAGGGGCAAATATGATGATGACGCTCATGATGATGACGATTATGATGACGCTCATGATGATGAGGAGGATGATACCGACGGTTATGATGATGATGATGATGATGATGATGATGATGATGATGATGATGATGATGATGATGATGATGATGATGATGATGATGATGATAAGGAGGGGGAGGAGGAGGAGGAGGAGGAGGAGGAGGAGGAGGAGGATGAGGAGGAGGAGGTTGATTATGCTCTTGAGAGGGATGATGATGAAGCTGGTGATAATGACAATGATGCTGCTGTTGTTGGTGATGGTGAAGATGTGGAGGAGCAAGAAGAGAAGGAAGATGAGGAGGGGGATGAGGAGGAGGAGGAGGAGGAGAAGGACTAGCGATGGATGAGGAGGAGGAGGAGGAGGAGGAGGAAGAGGAGAAGGAACGAAGAAGAGGAGGAGGAGGAGGAGCGAGGAGGAGGAGGAGGCAAAATTGGACGAGGCGGAGGGGCAGTCTACAGGGAGAGAGGCCGCCCGCGGGGCAGGACGTCGCCGCCAGCCTCAGGGCCAAGGGCCGGGCCGCGGACGCCGCGCTGCTCCTGTCGCGCCTGCCGGCTGCGCAGGCGCCAGCGAGGAAGGGGGGGGAGGGAGGGCGGAGGAGGGAGGGTGGGCGGGAGGGGAGCGCCGGGGAGGAAGGGAGTGATGGAGGGCGGGAGTTGTGGAGGAAGGGAGGGCAGGAGGAGGGAGGGAGGGGCGGGGTGGAGGGGGGAAGGGTGAGGAGGGAGGGCAGGAGGGGGGGAGGGAGGGCGGGAGGGAGGGAGGAGGGGCGGGAGGGGAGGGAGGGAGGGCGGGAGGGGGGAGGGGGGGGTAGGAGGGAGGAAGGGCGGGAGGGGAGGGAGGGCGGGAGGGAGGGAGGAAGGGCGGGAGGGAGTGCGGCATTCGGACGTTGTCGTCGGTGCTCGCGGCGGCGTGCCGACCTCGTGGTGCGATCCAGCGGCTGCGCCTCGCCGCGGGCTCTCTGGGGGCGCTCGGGTCGTCCAGAACGGCGGCCGAAGCTGAGCGAGCCAGTACGCGAATACATAGCAGGAGGAAGACGATGGTGATGATGATGGTGATGATGATGATGATGGTGATGGTGATGGTGATGATGATGATGATGATGATGATGCTGATGATAATGATGATGATGACGATGATGATGATGATGATGCTAATGATGATGATGATGATGATGATGATGATGATGATGATGGTGATGATGATGATGATGGTGGTGATGATGATGATGATGATGATGATGATGGTGATGATGATGATGCTGATGATGATGATGCGGACGCTGATGCTGATGATGCTGATGCTGCTGAGGATGATGCCTATTCTGATGCTCATGATGATGATGATGATGATGATGATGAGGATGGTGGCGATGATGGTGATGCTGGTGATGATGGTGACGATGATGATGTTGATCATGATGATGATGAGGAGGAGGATGACGCGTGTGATTATGACGCTGCTGATGATGATGAGGATGAGGATGATGAGGGTGAGGGTGAGGATGCTAATGATGATGCTGATGATGATGATTATGTTGATGATGATGTGCATGCTGCTGATGATGATGAGGAGGAGGAGGAGGAGGAGGAGCTGGAAGAGGAGGAGGAGGAGGAAGTGGAGGAATGAGGAGGAAAAGGAGGCGGAGGGGGATCTTGAAGTGTCATGGCTTTCGGGGCGCCTGAATGCCCCTCTTTGTGGTGCCAAAGGCGTGGTGCACCAGCAAGCTTCCGAGAAACCCCGCACGCACCATGTCCAGTGCGACGGTTCAGCTTGGAGCAGGAGAAGCAGGAGAGAGGTGCCTCTCCTCGAGTTCGGTTTCTGCGGCCTCTTCTCGGGCCCAAGGCAGCTACACATTGGTTCGGGAACTATCAGGAACAACCGTGGAAAGGGGTTCGGGACCTCTGGGGCCAGGGGAAGGCGGCTGAAGGAAGGGTTCGGGGCTCAAGAGGGGGGGGTCAATGTAAATTGGGGTCGGTCGGAGCGCCGGATCTTGCAGGATCCTGCAGGGCCAGGGGCGCGTTGGCCGGGACCAGGGCGCAGGAATTTGCAGGATCTTGCAAGGCCCGACTGACCCGAGTCTAGATTAACCCGGGTCAGTAGATCCCCGAAAGGACGCCAGTTTGTTGGATCCAAGGTTTCCGTAGTCTCCCATGTGCAAGGGGCGACGAACATTTAGGATCGAGTTTTGTTTGCCGTTTTCGTTGACCTGGGCCCCTTTTCAGACCATGGGCCGTCGGAAATCGTTATGGGATGAATTATTGGCTCGGGTGGACCCTGGAAGGGGTCAAGGGACCTCTTTTGAGCTGAGGTCACCGAACATATCCATACGGGCGCTGAACTCCTGAGAATCTGGGTCATCGAACCTCGGCGGCGATAGCGACGACGGCGACCTTGACAACGGCAGCGGCGGCGGCAGGGCGGCATGGACGGGAGTGACTCCATCGGCGTGCTGGACGTGAACAACGGGGACGCGGAACTGGCGAGGTTACGGGAGATCCTGGCCCTGGACGAGGAGCTCTTCTGCTTCGGAAGGGGGTCATTCTCTTCTTCCTCCTCCCGATCCTCTTCCTCGTCGTCCATCGTCATTATGCTCCTCCCCCATTCATCCCACCTTCCCCTGGCGTCATGATGGTCCTCCTCCTCCTCCTCCTCATCATCATTATCATCATCATCATTACCATCATCATCATCATCATCATCATCATCATCATCATCATCATCATAATCATCATCATCATCATCATCATCATCAGCATCATCATCATCATCTTCATCTTCATCTTCATCATCTTCTTCATCATCATCATCATCATCATCATCATCCTTTTACCCTGGCTCCATCATGGTACTCCTTCCCCTCTCTCGTCCAGCATCGTTCATTCCCTTCCTCCCGCATACCCCCCTTTCCCCCTCAGAATCCAGCTCCTCGCTCCTCCATCATGCTTCCTCTCTTCCTTTCCTTCCTCCTCCGACCCGAGGTTTTTTTGCACAAGTTCGGCTGTTCGTGGGGTGTAGGAGGGGATTTCGGGGCGAAGGGGGGCCCGGGGATGTTTGGGAAGGGGGAGGATGAGGATAATTCAGAGAAAGGATAACGTGGAAACGTGGGAGGTGGCGGGGGGGGGGAACGGGTGGGAGGGAGGAAAGGGGGGAGGGGGCACCAGGTGCACTCGCGCCACATCTAACATCCTACCCCTGCCACCTTCCCCTTCCCATCACGGCACGTTCAATCTTTGTGTGTCCGCCTGCTGGGCTGTCCTCCACGACATTGATGCCCCAATGGCAGCTGCAGGAGTTGGCCCATCAGTTGCTGCGAAATCGGGGAACGAGGAGGGGGCCCTGCACA